ACCTCCTCCCTCAACCTAGTAAGTTGAACCCCAGTGCTCCGAAACTCCTCATTAACCACAGCAGACGTAGCTATCTCGCCCTCAATCACCTCGTCAAGCTCGGTAATCCGCTCACTCTGAGCGCTAACCATCTGTCTAAGCTCGTCCACATCTGCCTGAAAATCCCTATTAAGTCCACTAGCTGACGACGCTCGTCGTCCAGAACAAGCACAAGGTAATTCGGGTAAGCAAAGGTAACCCTACAAGCACATCGGGGGTATCGAGTAGCAGGCGAGTAGCGTACACGAGCTCCCTCACCTAAACCTTGGTAGTAGATAGGCCTAGGAGGCACTACATGACCATTCGCATGGCCATTCCCGTTAGCTGCCGGAACTCCATTTTCGTTTTCCATCCCTGCAAAATAATAGCACCTTTCGGGTTAAAAATTTAAATCGCTATATAATTCGGATGTTGTTTATGCATGCCTAACCCAATCTCTAGTATGCCCCAAATACCTCATAAGGTATAACTAAATTATCCGATCTCAAGTCTTAAGGGTAGAGTATCTAATATGTCTCCCATATAGATCTCTAACCTAGCGCTCTGATACCAACTGTGACGCCCTCACTTCTCCCTAAGGCGAACCAAAAGGTATCCGCGGGACGCCTGCAGAGCTCTCGCCAGGACTCAAGTAATTCTATTCAAACTTATTATCGAACTACACAACACATATAAATAACTTAATACAGTAAATGCGGAAGCATTCAAACTTAGCAATATTCATCCATTAACCCACCCGCATATCGGGTGTTCAAAATACATCATGAATCCCAAATATACTTCATGCCCCAAATGTTACATTTCAAATCCAAAAGTACAACCCAAAACTAAGACATAGCCAAAAGATAATAGAAATCCCAAACAAAAGTACATCAGGAGGGTTTCTCCATTTCACCTCCGAGTTCAAACCTGTTAAGGAAAACAAATCTACAGGGTGAGCGAAACGCTCGTGAGGCCAAGAATACAAATGCAGGCACATAATTCAAGTAACAAGCCCAAATAACAGTTCAAGTGATAATTTACAAGTACCTAATAATGCCAACAAAAATGTAATCAGAAACAATTCAAGAATATAGTAGCTCTCAAGAGCTAAGTTCCACATTTTTTCGATGTCATTCGTATATCTCCTCTCGTTGACTCTCCATCAACCAGGTTGATATTTCATATCCGTAGTTCATCACTTACTTCTCATCATTCCACCATACACCGCTTCGGGCCCACACGACATTTATAGGGCGATACTTCACGAGTATGCCAAGCGAGATCTCTCAATAGATCAATCTTATCATGTGAATCTCATGACTCACCGAGGTTTCCGACCAAACCCATGCCGGCTCGAGTTCCAAGGTCGACCTATGAGTTTGGGCGTCCCCCATGTATCATGTAAGTGTCGAGGAGATTCACTCCAACGACGTATGCAATCATAGCATACCATGTCATGTATTCAAGCATTTGACAGGTTTAAGCATGTATTTCAGGTCATGTAAACCAGGCAAATCATGTTAAGCATGAGTCATTTGTTTCAAATGAGAACGAGTGCGATAAAGTACACACTCGACTCCATTTTCAAAATCAAGTAGGCTAAGCATGTAATCAAGTTTATAGAGTTCAAGTAGTCAAACGCTTGACACTCACCGAGCAAATCAAGAAGAAATATTTTCTGAAAGTTCAAGTGTTCACGGTCGGATCCTCTTGAAGGTCCTCGTGTGCGCTTGAGCAAATAATAGTGAATTATTATTCACACAACCCCATTTATCGAGAAATAATTTGTGCACTATAACGATCTAGGGAATTTCGTGAAAAGGAACCTTAATTACTTGTAAATCGATGTTCGAGTGGCGTTTTATAAAGTACAGGAGCATTTGGATTTTTATCTTGGAAATCGAGGTTAAAACGTTTGCATAATGTCGAAAGAATAAAGAGTTTTTATATGGATTTTTGAAAAATCGTATCTCACTCGATACAAGTCTAAAATTGAAAAATTTTATACCGTTGGAAACCTCTCGGAAAGTACTAAAAGTTCTTAGAAGACACTTTTCTATGAATCTAAGTGGAAAGTATTCAAAAATGGGATTAAAGTTGCTATTCCAGATCACCCAGGATTGAGCCGGGGTTGGTTTTTCGCTAACTTTGGAAATTCGGCAGAATTCAATCGTTGCAAATCAGCCCTTAAAATTTATAACACAATTAAAGGTGCAAGTAAGGTTTAGGACAGAATAAGCGGATCGAGAATTGGAGTTTCGAGCACCAAGATATGGTAGTTCAAAGTTGGGGAAAATTCAAAACTGTTGAACAATTTCCATATTTGGGTTTCCGACTTTGGACCTTTAGTTAAGTGTCGAAACGGATTTGGATTGGTACCAAATTTTGCAGTATAGTACTCCTATATGAAGGGTACCTCTCTATCAAATTTCGTGGAAAAATGGCTTCGGGAAGATAGTTAACCAATCAACCAAAGTTTTGAAATTACTAAGGCAAAACTGCCTTTAGCTCCATTTCTCTCCGTTTCCAAACATTCGACTAAGGAAAACCTCCAAACATGATTCATTTGTGTAAGAAAAGTCTAAGAAACATTCATGATGCATTTGGTAGGTGTTTAGCACCAAGAAATTCATTTAGTAAGACCACAACAAGTCTCACATCAAATCTGTCCAAATCCAAGGATTTTCAAGAACAAGGCAGTCACCGTATTTTGATCATAACTCACTCAATTTAACTCGGATTTGAGCATGGTTAATAGTGTTGGAAAATAAATTCATAGGGTTATAATTTCACAGAAGAAATCGTTTTAAGATTCAGCATGTAACTGGCTCGAAATTAAGACTAAAGTTGCAGCAGCATCAAATCATTTCCGCAGAACAGAGAAACAGGGCAGCCTTCTTAAAACGATTGGTTTGGCTCACACACTTGGAACCAAAATGTTCGTTTTATACCGTTGGAAAGGTGTGGATGTCTAGTTTCAAATACCACTGACGGCCCTTGATTTTGACTTCGGAGGACAATGTTACGGCCGAAATACTATCGCTGGACAGAGCTACACGGAAACAGTTTTCCAGCTTGACTAGTTTCACAAAGAAATTCATTTGCCCAACCAAACTTCAATATTTTCCAATTAAAATTTTTACACAACTAATACAATATATAAAAATCATATTCAAGCCATTAGATTATCAAAAATTGGCCTTAAATTAACCGAACAAGGCAGGGGCAAAATCGAAAGTTTCTATCCCATGAGTTCCTTGAGGTTTCTACTAATTATACTCCATTAATCCAACATTTCAAACACTAAACCAACATTATAAACAGCATCAATCACCATATCAGCCATCAAAACAGAGGTGGGAGTTCATAGAGCCCACCTTCCATTTTTTTCAACAACAACAACAACCCATAAGAAATTAAGAGCTAAAAGATATACTAGAACTTCCAAAAATTGAAGTTAGAAGGCTTGATCATGAATTACTCTAGTTGATGTTCAAGTCAGAAACTCAGTCCCTCCTTGCTCCTAAGTGAGCCATGAAAAGCCTCCCATTTTTAGCTAGATATGAACTCCAAGGCTTAGGCTAAGTAGTGCTAAAATTTGAGAAGATTTGGTGGTAATTTGAGTGAGTTTTGTAGAGGAAATGTTGGGGAGTTTTCGGTTGTTCCTTTGCTGTCTGCTAGCCGGCCATGGAAGTTTGGAGAAATGAAATGTTTGGTCTGACCCTTTGGCGTACAAAGAACGCTTAACGTCTAATAGTGTAGGTGCGCAAAAGTCAATTGCAAATAGTGCGCATACGTGCGCGTTTTATGCTCGATTTCTCTTAAATTTGTTGCACTAGTGCACTAAACCTCTAAGGCGCTTACATTCATATAAATATTATTCATTCTTAATTGTCCCAAAATAATGGTCTAAAGTTACAATCCATAAAAGTTACATTATGTATAAAAGTTACAATCCATAAATCTATTCATGTAGTGGAGGAACCGTTTCATAGGGTTCTTTATATTCTTATAGTAATGGATGTTTAATAGGATTGATGTATCTTTAATCTTGTAGTACCTATATATAGAGGTATATTGACACCTTTTGGAATGACTTTTGTATTAGTTGGAATATAAGAAAATCATTCTCCATTCCTCTACTTATTTCCCTAATATTTTAATTCTTATTATACTATTTCATTTTATTAGTTTTATAACAAAACAAGTAATTTAGTCCTATAAAAAAAATAAATAGTTGGGAAGTGACTAAAATGTCCAATATCACTCTGAAAGCAACTGCAATATATTTCCTTCTATCATCTAGCATGTGAATTGTAATCTTGGATTTTTCAGGCGAGATACCTGAAGCGGTTGGTTACCTTAACAAGTTGGAGGAAATAATACTAGACATGAATAGGTTTACAGGTCCCATCCTATCCAAACTGTTTAATGTGTCTTCGCTACGAGTAATATCCATGGCAGAAAATGATCTCTCGGGCAGTCTTCCCTCAAGTTTGGGTGCCATGTTACCCAATCTTGAAGAACTTTATATTGGGGGAAACAGACTAAGTGGAGTCGTACTAACATATATCTCCAATGCTTCAAGACTTGCTTATTTAGACCTTACATCTAACCAGTTCACAGGTGTAATTCCTCGTTCTCTTGGTGACTTGAGACTTCTAAAAATTTTGTCTTGCGAACAACAGTTTTTCTTATGAATCTCATTCTGGGGAATTAAGCTTTTTGAATTCCCTATCAAATTGCAAATATCTAAAGGTGTTGTGGCTAGATGAGATTCCTTTCAATGGGTTCCTTCCAGTTTCTGTTGGAAATCTTTCTAGTAATCTAGAATCTTTTTATATGAATGATTGTGGACTTTTGGACAAATACCAAGTTCCATAGGAAATTTAAGTAACTTGGCAGACCTGAATTTGTCTCAGAATGCCTTGGAAAGGACAATTCCACCAACCTTTTGAGGGCTATTGAAACTTCAGGAAATGGAGCTTGGATATAACAAATTTCAAGGACCCTGTCCTGGTGAATTATGTTATTTATTGAACTTAGGACAATTAAGTTTGAGCAGCAATCTGCTTTCTGGTAGACTTCCTAGTTGCATAGGGAATATTACTTCCTTAAGATATCTATATCTGGACTCCAACAATTTAAGTTTTAACTTGATCTCAAATTTGTGGAGACTCAGGGATATCTTGGAGCTCAATTTGTCCACAAATTCTTTCAGCGGTTCTTTTTCCTCTGAAGTTGAAAATTTGAAGGCACTAATAATTGTGTACCTGTCTGTCAATAACTTTTTTGGAGATATTCCCACAGCCATAGGAGCACTACAGAGTTTACAGGCACTATCCTTGAAGCATAATAGGCTGCAAGGATTTATTCCGGAATCTATGAAGAATATGTTGGAATTACAGTATCTGGAATTGTCATTTAACAATTTGACTGGTGAAACTCCCAATTCACGGGAAGTACTCCAGAATCTTGTATACTTCAATGTGTCCTTCAACAGATTTAGAGGACCAATTCCACATGGAGGACCTTTTGCCAACTTTACGAAGCTATCTTTTCTCTCAAACGAAGCATTGTGTGACGCTCCTTGACTCCAACCTTGTCAAACTTTGGAACAAAGTTCAAGGAAAATGACAGTTTTGTTTGTGTTGTTGGCACTTGGATCAGCAGTTGTAGCCATGGTAGTTTCATTTTTGGTGATAAGAAAATGGAGAAGAAAAATTGTGTCTCCATCTAACTCAGATCCAGATACAACATTTGAGAGGGTATCATCCCACGAACTCAGACAAATAACAAACTGGTTCAGTGAGAGTGCATTGCTTGGCTCTGGAACCTTTGGTTCTGTTTACAAAGGAATACGAGAAAATGGGATGACTTGGGCTATAAAGGTTTTTGATTTGCAGCTTGATGGTGCATTTAAAAGCTTCAACAGGGAATGTGAAGTCTTACGGTGTCTTCGTCATCGTAATTTGACTATGGTCATCAGTGCTTGCTCAAATCCTGACTTTAAAGCTTTGATACTTGAATACATGCCCAATGGAAGCCTTAAGAAACGGCTTTATTCAGGCACTCATATCTTGAACATCATGCAAAGACTAGACATTATGATAGATGTAGCTTGTGGTTTGGAATATCTCCACTATGGTTATCCAACTCCTGTGATTCACTGTGATTTGAAGCCCAGCAATATCCTACTAGATCAAGATATGGTTGGTCATGTTTGTGACTTTGGAATTGCTAAGTTGTTGGGAGATGGAGAAAGTGTGGTATAAACAAAGACTCTCGCTACATTCGGATATGTTGCCCCAGGTAACTCTTCTTGATTGCAATTCCAATTTTTGATGTCAGTCAAATGATGTTTCGACTTTTAACTAATTAAATTTTTTTTATTCAGTACCGAAGTTCTAAATTTAGCAAACGAATTTAATTCAATATTGATGCTAGACTATGGACCAGAAGGACTGGTTTCAACAAGTTGTGATGTATATAGCTTAGGGATGACATTGATGGAGACATTTACTAAAAGGAGGCCTAAGGATGAGATGTTTACTGAAGAGCTAAGCCTGCAGCGTTGGGTACAAGAATGCTTACCAGATTTTGTGATTCAACTTATGGATATGAACTTAGTTCATCTTCAAGATGAACCAGTCAAGAATAAGATAGCATGCATATCATCTATCCTGGAACTTGCTTTATGTTGTACAGCAGACGCTTCTAAGGACAGAATGACCATGAAAGATGTCTTAAAAGCACTCCAGAAGATTAAACTTCAATTCTCTGAGGGGCTCAAACCTTTGAAGCAGGTATATAACTGTTATATAAAGATAACTAAAAATTGCAATTTTCTTTTTGAAATTCATGACATATCAGATAATTATTCAAAAAAAAAGAAAGTATTTATTGATGCATTACTTTTAAGTATCTTCTGTTCTGAATATATGGCAGAGGCGTATGGTGTAATTGTGGTGAATCCTTTCCTTTAACTCCGTGCACGCCAACCAAATGCTTCAAGTTCAAGACAGGAGCAAGAAATTTTTTTTTTTTTAAAGGGATGTTAATTTCTGTATTTCCTGATGTGATTCAGGTAGCTTTTTAACAGCGGTTTGCTTGTAATGTCATCAACAATTTGCATTTTCCTCCGAAGATATATGTTGGTGCTTAATTTGGCTACATGGTTATCTCACTGTGTCTTGTGCATATTATCTTGAGCTTGCAATTTGCAAATCATATCCTGGAACTGTCCCATGAAAATGATCTTCAGTGAAAATGTCTGTAACTCATCTTAGGAAGAGACAGAGTCAAGATGCATGAAAGGCAGCATAAACAAGGCATGAATGCAGGGCAGTAGAATAGATTTTAGTTTATTAATTTCTTACTTATCATAAGAACTTGACAGCCTATCCAATCTCATGAATATTGTCTTTCGAAATGGCAAGTCCTAAAAGTCTCAACGCATGGGTGATGATAATCAATATGTAGTCACTACAGTTTTTAAAAATCGAAAATCATGCTCTAATCTAAACTTTTAAGTAGGCTAGGTAACCTAATTATTTTAAAAACTATGAGTTGATTACCCTATTTTTTTTTATTTGAATCAATTCAGCTTTCTCGGTTACTCTTGTTTCGGATTCTTTTTTAACACCCCTATCAAACAGAGCCAATGACCAACCATCTCCATCCGTCATGCTACGAAATGGAGGGAACATTTGTTAAATAGCTCTAGTTTGTGAGTTTACTCTTAATGGACCTCTTCATTTGGGAACATCTCATATGTGTGTGTATATATATATGTATGTATGTATATGTATGCAAGTGTATGTATATATGTCAATCGTTCTATTTCTAAGTGTACCCTATGAAAATAGTAATTATATTTCAGAGTGTGGTGAGTGCACTTTTTGGACTTAAATTTGAATTCTTCATTTAAGCCTTTAAGCGCAGTGCAAAAGTTTCTAGACCGTTGTTCTTCTAAAGACAAATTAATCCAATAGAATATCATTGAGAAAAAATATTTATGACCTCGACTAATACAAAACTTTTAGTGTATCTCAGTTTTTGGTACATTTTAAAAACTAGGGCAAATTACATTTTAGTCCCCTATGATTTTCGCAAAAACCACAGAATCCCTCATGATTCAAAAAGCTATACATAAATCCCCTGTGGTTTGGGTTGAACTAGCAAATAGACGGAAAGCACCCACCGTGACGATTTGTGGGCAAAATGTCCAAATTACCCTAATATAAATACAAAAAGGAAGCAAATGAGTCAGATTCTCCCTTGCTCTGGTCTTTGTCGTGAGAAAGGGAGAGAAAAACATGACCGCCGAATGAAGGAGAGAAATTTAACCCACAAAATTAAAATCGTAGATCTACCATTGAAGACCAAAAAGTAGCTGTGAAAGAGTATCACGAAAGCTATTGTTGCATCTGGTAAGTTTTTTGACATTAGTTTAGCATATAAGATGCACTTGCATGGTTTTTGAACAGAAACTATCGGGCATTGGAAAGTTAATAAATCAGTGATTATTTTGCTTAAGCATTGATTAATTTAAAATTTTGCTACTTTGGGACAACCTGTATTATCATATTTAAGCATAGAGTATTTTATCGACTAGAATTGAACTTATGCATTAAGATTAGGGTAAAAAAAAAATTGCATTCGGGAGTTCTAAAATCACCGAAATTTCAACTAAACATGGGTAGAATATGATTTTGTTCGTTTGAGATTTGTTGATTAGTGTCAGATTTGGGTCAAATTTGGGTGGCTTGATTTTCAATAATATAGAGTGATTTGGCTGCTGATAAAGTTTTGACAATTTGGACATTGAATAATTTTTGCTTGTCGGCTTGTTGGCCGTCATGTGGTCCATGGAAGTGTGCAATATGCAATATGTCCTTTTCTTAATCAGATTGTATTTTTTTGTAATCATGTGTTTTCATTGAAGTGTGTAATCTATTAAATGTCCTTTTCTTAATCAGATTGTTTTTTTTTCTTATCATGTGTTTCACTATTTCTAATACAAGCTTTGAAAAAAATGACAACTTCAAAAAGAATTACTATAAAATTGCATTTCGGTGGTATATTCATATGGGAACCAGAAACTGTCTATACTGGTAACAATGTTGCCATATTTAAAAATTGTGAGACAAGAAAATTATCCAGGGATATGTTGTGTAAATTGTGTGGTAGGTATGGTGATGCCTCGAATGTGAACCTATATTTTGAAATACCAAATTGTGGGTTGTATGCTAGAGCAGCTGAAATCAAAGGAGATAAAAAAATAGAGTCAATGTTAATTGCACATGAAGGAGTAGATGTTATCAACATATATGCTGAATTGCATGATGAAATGCCTAGTGAAGTTGCTTCAGTTGGAGTAAAAAGTCATGGTAAAAGTGCCCCCACTGATGCCCCACATAGTGGAGCACAAAATGTGGTATCTGATAAAGATATGCCAAAAAAGTTAGCAAACAGAAAGGGAAAACAGATAGTCAAGAAGTCAGTGAGAAGACAAACCAAGCTAGCTGGAAACAAAAAGCACAGCAAAGCAGAGGCTAATTCAGCAAAGGAAAAAGGTGAAAAGCTGTAGAGAAGCAAGATGAAGTTGAAAAACAGCCTGAAAATGAAGATGAGTACGGTGATGCTACATCTGATAGTTTAGAAGAGCCTGAGTGGTTGAAAGAGGGATTAGAAGGACCAGAAGATGAGGATATTTTTGCAAATAGAGCAAAGGCTAATGAAATAGAAAATCAGCAGCAGGCAAAAGGCACAGATGAAGAACCAGCAACAGCAAAGCAGACATATACAATGGAGGATCTGCAACCACCAGGCTCTTCTAAGAACAAATTTGAAGAAGGGGAGAGTTCTAAAACTAATGAAGAGTGGAATGAATTTGTTATTGATGATGAAGAACTGCTTGACATTATGTGGGGAGATGATGAAAGAAATGGAAAAGGTAATAGTTGTCGAGATTTTAATGCTGCAATTAAGTTCAGAAAATCAAATTTTGAGTTGAAAGTTTGGGATAAATTTAAGAACTTACGGGCCTTTAGAGAAGCACTTGTGGAATGGAATGTTAGGGAAGGCTACACCATGAAGTACAAAAAAAATGAAAAGCAAAAGTTATTGCCATGTGCAAAAAGGGTTGTTCTTGGAAAATACGAGCAAGCCCAATTCAAAATGAAAGCACCTTTTAGATCAAATCAATAAAGGAAGTGCATGTGTGTGGAAGAGAATATAGCAACCATCATGCAAATGCAAGATATTTGAGCAAAAAATATTTAGACAGGTTCAGAGATGAACCAAGTTCTTCCATTGAAGGATTTGTCAAGACTGTAAGGAGAGAGATTATGGTGGATATTGACAGGTTGTCGAAACCTGTACAATAATAAAATTAAACCTAATTGCCAGTTAAAATAACCAAAATCCAATTCCAAGTACTGGAGCAGGGACCCTAGGTGTGCAATGGGTCACTTGATTCACCCTATTTCTGAAGAGTTTGTTTGATCCGATATACCCGAATGGGATTGCTTTTTTTTCATAAATAATTATGAATTTGTAGACAAGGCACGTAGAGTCGTATTCTCAGGGA